CTTCTTCTTCTTCTTCTTCTTCTTCTTCTTCTTCTTCTTCTTCTTCTTCTTCTTCTTCTTCTTCTTCTTCTTCTTCTTCTTCTTCCTTCTCCTCTTCTTTCCTTTTCCTCCTCCTCCTCCTCCTCCTCCTCCTCCTCCTCCTCCATCATCACCACTGCCGTCATCGTTAAAGCCTGCAACACCGTCTTCACAAAAACTCTGCTACTCCAAAAAATAAAGGGCAGTAAATAGAACATTTCAGAAGCAAGATATCTACCTGCACTTGTCACATATCCAGCTGAGGGAGTTCAAGTACTTAAGACACAGATAACAAGTCAAATAGTGCGTTTTATTAAAATAGAAAATTTGGCCCGGTTTTATACGCAAAAGAGGACAAGGTTTTTAGAACGGTTTCGAATTGTATAATATCGTAGCTTTGTTCCTTTTTAATTTCAGATTTGTTTTAGCTTGTTTTTTCTTGTTGTTTTGTTTTTGTTTTTGTTTTTGCTTTTTGTTGTTTTGTTGTTGTTGTTTTGTTGTTGTTGTTTTGTTGTTTGCTTATCGCTGGGGGGTTTTGGGTGGTTGTTGTTGTTGTGTTGTTGTTTTTTTGGTTTTTTTGGTTAGTTTCTTGTTGTTGTTGATTTGTTTTGTTTGTTTGTTTGTTTGTTTGTTTGTTTTGTTTGTTTGTTTGTTTTTTGGGGGGCAATCTTTTCACTCCAAAAGAAGTGGAGGTCGATGTGGAGGAGGGGGTGTTTTCAATCACTTTCAATTGGTAGAAGTAAAAAAGTGCAGAGCTATATTTCTAATTTCAAAATTTACTTTCTGCTGAATTCGTGTGGTGATTCTTTCGCAACAGCATTATCTCGTTGAGGTTTCACGTTTTATTCCGCTGACCGCTTGGTTTTAAATTAATTAATACACAATCACACTATGCAACTTGTCTGATTTATAAAACCTATCAGATCTAATGGGATCGACTAATCTAGAATGTAACAGAAAGAAGGCGTAGTCCTGCCAACGGCGCCATAAAAGAAAATTATATTTATTATTCTTGACTGATAATCATATTTATTATTCCCCCCTGATAAGCCTTAAGAGTCATTTTACAAAAATCTTGCAGTGATTACTCCTGGGAAGAACGAGAAAAAAAAAACTATGACCAGAGATATCTAGAATATCTAAAACACAATTCGATTTTGTTCCCGACAAGGGCACCAGAAATGCTATGATATTCACCTTAACAATGTTAATGGAAAGATGAACTGAAGCACATAATGATATATATTTATGCTTCATGGATTACTCAAAGGCTTTCGATAAAGTCAGACATGATAAGCTATTTAACATACTGAGAGAGCTAGACAGTGATGGAAAAAATCTAAGAATGATCTGGAATTTGTACTGGGACCAAAAGGCTGCTGTACGAATCAATAGAGAATACAGCGAATATATGCAGATTGAAAGAGGAGTGAGGCAAGGATATGTTATGTCTCCAGACCTCTTTAACATTTTCAGTGCTTTGTGAAACAATCTTAAGAAACTGATGAACGTCCCGGTCTCTAAGTGAATGGCGAAAATATTGATATATCAGACATGCCGATGACACAATTTTAACACCAGGCTCAGAAAAGGGCCTTCAATCGTTCTAGATACTGTTGCAACGGAAAGTGAATGTACAGAGTTGTTATTGAATGTGAGCAAAACAGAATGCATGGTAATATCATTTTTTAAGGGAAAAAGCAGAAAATTCTATTTGTAATCTCATATGCAAAGGCGAAAAGATCAAACAGGTCCAACAGTTTAAGGGGGGGGGGGGGGGGTACACCCCCAAAGTCAAAATTCGGCTCAAAATCATGGAATTTGAGTTGTAGGCAGTTTTAGCTACAACTATTTCATGGCATAAGAACCTCCCAAAGCCGTATTTTTTTCCATACCGGGCATGTTTGTAACCGCCATTTCCTCATAAAGTCAGT